AAAGCTGCTGATGGAGGTAACATATTTTGTGCTTATGTCTTTTTATATGTCTAACCTATATTAGCTTATAATATATAGCAGGAATTAGCTTCTTTATGTTATTGCTTCACAGATTGATTCTCAGTCATCAGAAATAGAGAGATTGTTTGAAGAAAATTCAAATCTTTCATCTGCCAATGAGGAAGCAAACAGAGTCATAGTGCAGTGGGAGAATCAGGTACCTTTGAAGAATCAGTCTATTTTTATACGGAGTATGTAGAGTTTAAATCTTGAGGCCCATATTAACATTGCAAGTTGTTTCAGACCCTATGGATACCTTTTCAAACATAACATGTAAATTAAAAAAATCAAAAAAATCCGAGCTTGTAACTTTTGCCACAGGAAAATAAATCATTCTTTGGATTTGACTTTTAGCTTAATGAGCTTCAATTGTTAATGTGAAGTTCTACTTTTAATGCTAACACAAATAGTAGAATAGAACAGAACATGCGGGTTGTGTGAAATTATAAAATTATCTAGACAGTTGGGTTAAGTGTGTAGACTGGAAAGTGCACTACATTTTTTTTTGTAACAAGGGGGCTTATATTGATAATAAAACATTCAGCAAGGGATACAAACGACAAAGGAAACACTTCCAGCCACCGACCCTCGGACCAGCTGAAGAACCAATCACCCTGTACAGAGCAATATGATTCGCTTGTCCTATAATGGGTCTAAATGAAACCAACGTGGCCAGAGCAAAACCACCATCACCCCTACCTAATGTAAGAGTCTGACTGAAAAAGACAATACAGAAAGCAACAACGACAGTATTCATGCCAAAGAAACTCAACAAGAGTAAAACAAAATTAAATAAACTAAACTGACAGCAAAAGCGAATCCAAGCTTCAAACGTCATCCTTGGCGGTGGCTCAGGAGGGGGGCGGATCATCAATCCTTCTTCTTGAAAAATTCCTTGCGATCCCACCACCACAAATTCCAAAGACACCTTCTTAACTCCTGCAATTATAGCACAAGTGAACCCGGAATCTCCGCTTGATGGTATTCCCCCAACCGAAACCAGTAACACAAACGAGAAGGCCATAACCCAAGCGAAATAGCGATCCAAACTGCCCGACCCCTGCTGCGTTCGAAAGCCTTCCAACCTCTGCGATCAACGACCTGCTGTGCACCAATCCCAAGGCCCGCAGACTCTGCTTCCCCTTCTTCGTCGAGCACCCCCTGCACTCGAAGGTAAAGCCGAATCCAAGAAGCAGTTTTACCCACAAAAGCCGAAGGAGATCAGCACTCCTAACCTCCAGGCGAAGGCCTTCTTACACTCAAACCAGCAGCCAAGACAAATCGATCTCTCCCCTCACGATCGAGAGGGAGAATCGCCGCCGAAATTACCCAAACCCTAAGAAACTAGGGAGACGTCCGCCTTTTTCATATACTGGAAAGTGCACTATATACATGCACACTTGTTACATAAGAGACTAAATAGTAATTAAAAATGACAAAAATTTACTAAATTCATTTGGATGGACAAAATGAGACCTTTTTAGACCAAAAAAAATGAAAGACTAACTAAATCCTTGAGAAATCCACCGATTCGGTGACAGAAAAAGATAGAAATCCAGCGGCTCCACAAAGTGAGGGATTGCTAATTGTTTCTGTACGGGGGTAACTGGATTTTGTGTTCCTTATCACTAAGGCTCTCGGACTTGTCACTGATTTAGTTAGTGTTTTTTGTCCAAGTAAGGTTTCTTTTTTTTGTCTATCTTATCCTCATTAGTCCTATTTCTCTCCTTAACCAATGAGTAATAGTGGATTAGTCATTCCTAATCATTCTCAAAAAGGGAAAAGTTTGTCAAGAAACAAAGTGTTTGTGTGCAATGTTGTTGAAGTGGTGTTGATGGTTGCAGTAAAAAAAACTCTGCAGCAAGCAAAAAAGATTTCATAGCAGTGGTGTGAGGGTGATATTCCAGCCCCACTCTTTGTAATTGGTGTCCAAAGGCTAAAAGTAAGCTATTTTGCATCTTACAGGTGAAAGATTGTATAAAACAAAATGAGGAGCTACGCAGCGTATTAGAAAAACTTAGAACTGAACAAGCAGGTTTAGAAATTTCCAATGACAAGCTAACTCATAGAGGCTTGTTTGGGTCCAATAGAGAAGGTGAAAATGGCACTCAAGCCCCAGATTCTGCACCTGATATTGTCTCTCTCAAGGTCTGTATTGAGTTCACATTTTTTTTTCTTATCTGTTTGTTAACATTCATTTCTTCACTATTCACATATCAATATACTTTTATATTCATTCTGTAATTCAGTTCCACTTCTTCCGTTCAGGTGAACTTGTGGCGTTTGTATTTTTTAATATTCATTCCCCGGTTATGCTAAAAACCGGGGGATGAATCTGTAGCGATGTCCCATCAGTAACATATAAAAATCTGTAGCTATTATGTTTGATGGCGGTAATGGTTAGCCACCTCATTTATAATGGTGGAAAATGCCGAGGATCAAAGTTATAAGTTATTTCCGTGTTTGGTTTACAATTAAGGAAGATAACTATGGTTATTTAAAATAAAAATGAAAATAAAAAGTGTATTTAGATTGCTTGCTCTTTAATCTTTATATAATAGACTTAAAAAAAATGAGTATCAACAAATATCCAAATAATTTTATTAAGATTTACCATAACTTTATTCCCCCATATTTCCTTTATTTCCAACTATCCTTAATGTTTTTCTTTTTTATTTTCTTTCTCTAGCATTTTCTGATTCTTTTTGTCAATGGCTGTATTTCTTCAGGGTCAACTTGTGAAAGAACAGAGCAGAGCAGAAGCATTGTCTGTACAAGTTTTAAAACTATCGGTACAACTCCAGCAAGCCGCACAAGCATACAATGGACTTGCCCGCATGTATGCGTCTAAACCTTGATTGTCTTTTTTATTTCCTGTAAAATTATACTCCTTCCATCCCAGTTAAAGGCTCTTGTCTCTTTTGGGCGACCCATTTAAAGGTTTTCATTTCTCTTTTAAGAAATAATTACCTTTCTCAGACGACAATCTTATCTACTTAGTATTACATACTCCGTACTACGTACGTAGTATTAGTACACCCATCATAGCACCATTATCTTAAACTACCTCATTGTATAATGTATATATCCTTCTAAACTAATCCTCAAACCATACTCAAATTACCTCATTATATTATATAGCCTTTCCAAGTACTCGTTTGATAACCTGTACGATCTTTTCTATTTACAAATTACAATGATATTTGCCTTTACAGCTACAAGCCTGTGCTTCGCAACATTGAGGGCAGTCTATTGAAGATAAAGCAAGATGGGTCAGAGGTTTTGCTTAGAGCTTGAGAATCAATGCTTGCCTTGGTCGTAATTAAATATATTTGTTGAATTGTTGATTACGTATTTTTCATTTTAGCCAAATTTATTGTAGTTGTGCGATTACAAATGATGTAAGAATGTTTAACTTGTAAAATGTTGTTTCATAAGTTGAATATAAGAAATGTTTTCTTTGCCCTTGCATCAGAGTGAGTGTTTGGCCTACCGTATGTGATATGAAGTAGGGTAGTAATAATTATACATTTATACACTTAAATTTTTAGGGACAAAATTGGAATACTATCTGTTATTTTATATAGTAAAACTGAGTTATAAATCAATGATGTGTCGATTTGTGATTGGTTATTAAAAAAATTGATTATCACTCTTATTGAAACATTCAATTAATTCTCCCAATGCAATTAGTTCACACGGTCCATAAGACCATGACTATCTATTCACATGAATTAGGACAATTCATTTGAAGAAAAAGGAGGAGAAAAAAAAATCAATTTTATGATCTTTCATATGACACCAATTTTGCATATTAAAAAAAATCTGAAGATCCCATTGATGAAGATTTTAAAGCCTAGAACTTTTTTTGTCAATAAAGCCCAAAACATTTTTAAGTAGATTAAAATTATAAAAGTAAGATTTCGTAATTAATTTTTACATTTTGGATTTAAATGAAAAACAAAATCTAAAACACTTGATTCCTTACTATCTATTGTTCTATATAGTAAACACTAATTATGAAATGCTACATGCCTACATGTGACTCTCTTATTGATTTGGCATGATAAATATTAACATTATTTTAATTTTAAAATCATTGTCTAACTCATTACATGATGCAAATGCTTATATAATATAAAACATATTCCATACTCTTACATTACAACATCTAATTAATTTGTAACATCTGCATGATATGCTTAATTATTGATTGAATTGTGCATTAAACCATATTGTAAGTTATATTTCAAACAATACTTTAATTATTATATACATATTACATTTAGTTTATACCGTGAATAAAGACATTATAATATGAAAACATAATAACAATATGCATATAACTTATGAACAACAATATTGACATAATTTATGAACACAGTCAAAATTTTGACAAAACAAGTTTCATACATAACACTTATTATTCTCCAATTATGAACAACTAGAAGAATATCAATAATGTACTCCCTTTGTCCCAAAGAAACGTGGGCGTAACGGGGAGAGGCCGGGATCGCAACATATGTTGCGGCAACAATATTGTGGTTGCGTTCTGGTAGCACAACCACATCAGACCGCAATGGAGGTGCGGTTTCAATTCATGGAGAAAATCTACTACGTAATCCAACGAAACTATACGGTGGCTGCAAAGAGGCCATATCGGATCACATCAAGACATCAACACTGATTATTTTTTTATTTCATTTGAATGTGAAATTAAATTACACCGCATCGACCGCAATAGCCGCAACCGCGGTGACCGCAATAAAAAGCATTGATATAGACTAAAGTGTAAATACGGAGTATGTGATGTATGATGATGAGTAATTTAATGTAGTATACAGTCATTTAAAATATAAAAATTCATTATTGTTTGTGGTTAGATCATCGTAAAAATGTGTTATATTAAATTTTGTATCCTATGAATTATTCACAAATTGATGCGCCGCTACCGGGGCAGTGCCCCGGACTTTACACTAGTATACCTAGTATTACCAAGCTAATCAGATCGTTCCATTTTCTTACAAGTACAATATTTTTAGAACAACGTTCAAATGAAGCTACTCCTTTATAATTAGTTAAAAGAAAATTTGATTGGAAAGAACAACCTAAAGCCCATGGGCCATGGATGCCTTCTAATACGGTATTTCAGAGACTGAGATGTCTTTGAAACAAAACGTGAAAGGATTCACCAATACTCCCCACAAGAACAAATCCCATCTCTGAAATGATGAAAACGGTTTATATCTCTAACAAAAATTTCACGACTGGTAACTTTGGAAACGTACTTTGTGAAAGTGTGACAGTCTTCACACAACCTCAAGTTCTTAGTAATCCTGATAGCTTCACCTTTACTTCCATTGATCAATCCAAACCCGACCGCCAATTTTTCACTGTGACTTAATAAAATGGCCCCTTCCTCATCACCTTCGAGACTGCATGTCCTGTTTATTGGGTAACTATCATTCTTCATCTCCTCATAAAGCTTTACCAACAATTCCTGAACCTCCTTCATTTGGGGGGTAATATCGTCAAGCGATGTGATAGAGTGCATTTTCCTCCTGACCTCAATCCAGCTGCAACCAGAGAGTTTTTCCAGGCCTATGGAGTCTAAGAGTTTCTTTACCCTTTTGACATCATCCCATAACCCAGCTTCTGCATAAATATCAGCCAAAAGAACATAGTTCCCCGCGTTTGTGGGTTCGAGCTCGAAAAGTCTCTGGCTCGCCCTCTCGGCTAGCCCAACATTACAATGAATCCTACACGACCCGAGAAGGGCTCCCCAAACTTTAGGGCCTGGTTCCATCCGCATGTCATCTATGATTCTAGAAGCTTCATCTAGGCGGTTAGCTCTCCCGAGAAGGTCCACTACTGAAGCATAGTGCTCCTCGCTAGGAGAGATTCCGTGTTTCTTCATCATGGACTCAAACAACACCATCCCTTCCTCAACAAGCCCGGCATGACTGCACGCCCCCAAAACACTAATGAAAGATATTGGAGTTGGGGGGATTCCTTTTTGAAGCATTTCATGAAACATTCCGACGGCTTTGGGCCCATGCCCATGAATCCCGTATCCTGAAACTATTGAATTCCAAAGGACCACATCGTTCTTATCCGTGTGATCAAATACAGATTGTGCAGTTTCGAGATTTCCACACCGGGCATACATGGTAATAAGGGCACTAATGACAGGGGTAATTGTGTCAAGTCCGTTTCGGAGTACATATCCGTGTAATAACTTCCCTTGCTCAATCGCAGCCATTGCTCCACAAGCTTGAAGCACACTCACCATTGTTACTGAGTTAGGGATCAGATTACTGTTGTGATTAACCATCCTATGAAAAAGGTGCAATGCATCAGAGGGTCTGCCATTTTTTACATAACAAGCTATCATAGCACTCCAAGAGACGACATTTTTATCTGGAATCATATGAAAAACATGTGTGGCATAATCCAGACAGCCGAATCTTGCATACGTATCAACTAAAGTAGTCATGATATGAATCTGAGTCTCAAACCCATGTCTCAAAATATGAGCGTGGATTTCTTTTCCAATCTGAAGGACGGATGACTCAAAAGTAACACAAGCCTTCAACACATACGTATACGTAAACCTATCAGATGGGACACCAATGGAGTTCATCTGTCTGTATAAGCTAAAAACCTCTTCGCCTTTACCAGCCAAAGTCAATGCCCTAAAGAGAGCATTCCAGACGTATATCGTCCGGTCAGGAATTTCATCAAACACTTGCCGGGCATCGGAAATGGAGTCCAATTCAGAGTACATGTTTATGAGCTTAGTCGCCAAGAAGGGATCTCGATCAAACCCATTTTTGTTAAGCATGCTGTGAACATTTTTGGCGTCGGGCAGCGACTTTTTATGAACGCACGATAATGTAAGAAGTTCGTAGGTTCGTTGGGTTGGGTTGGGCTCCTGAGAGAGAAGATGAATAGCTTGTTTCAGATGACCTTTCTTGCATAAAGATTGTATTAAGGGGTTGTGGTTGCTAGCGGCGGCGTTGGGGGCGGCGATGGAGCGAGAAGATGAGCAGAAGAGGGGGCGTGAGGGGGTATGAACACTCCACATTACATCAAAATGCTCTTTAGCTGCAACAAATATATGAGCACTACCATAGAAATTAGTACGAGCTTAGGAGAAACGATTGCAGAAATCTAGATTAAACCATTTCTGGAACCAAAAATAAAAGCGCCGTTGCCGGGGATCGAACCCGGGTCACCCGCGTGACAGGCGGGAATACTTACCACTATACTACAACGACTTGTTGGTAAGTTACAGTAGAGCAAATTAAAGAATCATTGGCGTCCGAAGCAGATATTTTGTGGCTTCACAGATCCCCGGAAAGGAAAGCTAAACCGATTAGACAATGGGAGAAGGAACGGAATTCTTATTCAAAAACTTTGAGAAAGAAAATTCAGTGTTTACTTACAGAGTTACAGGTTGACAGAGAAGATAAGTTTTCTTTTTCACGTCAAGGGGCATATATAAAAAAAAATGTATTTTTGGCTCAGCATGAGATCAGGGAGGAACCAAGAAAATACGGAATTTAGTGATAGACCTCCATTTCAATAAAAAAAAACGGGATAACACCTCATGGTCCTCATTCATGAGCGCTTCTTAGCACCGGTTAAACGAGAACAAATAAATTTTATTTTAATCACAAGTTAACAAATAGTGAATAAGGATGTTTTCTTTTGGACTGAAATTTGCTGGTCTGGTCTAGTCTGTTTAAATCTGGTCTGATCTGGTCTGGTCTGTTTAAGTCTGGTCTGGTCTGGTCTGAACTGGTCTGGTCTGGTCTGGTCTGGTAAACGTCTGGTCTCTGTGTATTTTATAACTACGGAAGTCTGGTCTGGTCTGTTTAAGTCTGGTCTGGTCTGGTCTGGTCTGGTCTGTTTAAGTCTGGTCTGGTCTGGTCTGTTTAAGTCTGGTCTGTTCTGGTCTGGGACTGAAAACAGTCCAAAAGAAAACATCCTAAGACTGACTAGGGGTGGTTCGGTACGGTATGATGCATATTTTATCGCATACCTTTACCATATCGTAAACTTTCGGTATGTAAAAATACATACCGTTATCATACCGAAATTTCGGTCTACCGAAACAAGATATACCGTACCGAAATTTCGGTACAGTAAAGTACGGTATCGGTAAATTATCATGATTTAATATAACAAATTATTATATGTCAAATGAAATAAAGGAAATCAGTGTTAATAGTGATATACTAAAATCATTAATGAAATTAATTATAAAATACCAATGAGATAACCTATTTGTGTTCTATTCAACTTTTGACAAAAAAATATTATAAATATGTATAGATATTCAACACATGATATATGAAGATAACAACACATTCTGCTAAAATAATTTAAACAACATAAATATAATCAAAACAACACCAATCTCCAAAAAAAATTATAAATAATTCAAGAAACATGGATATAAAGTCATTTATCCTTGAATTAGTGTCGTGTTTCTAGTTATTTTTATAATTCTAATGATATTATTGGTTTGGAATTACGGTATACGGGTATACCGTTTATTTCCAAAATATATACCAATATCATACCAAAGTAATTCGGTACGGTATCACACCGTACCAAAAGTGTCGGTATACCAAACATTTCAGTAAATTCGGTATTTTTCGATATGGTAAGTCCGGTATACCGAAATTTCGGTATTTTTTTCCCACCCCTAACTATGACCTAGATACTTACTAAATCTTGTGCATTTTAGTATAGTAATGTCATCGTAGTTGTCGGGATTCGAACTCTAGACATACCTTTTTGATACTTCTATTACCAGTTGAGCTACACTCAGTCGCCCATCATGTAACACCCCGGCCCCACCGGACCCGAGGTAGTTACTCCGGACCAATAGTACTGTCCCCACAAACCACCACGAGCCTTTACCGCGCACTTTGTCCTCACTCATGCGCGCCCTGAGAGACTTCCCAGGGGGTCACCCATCCCAAGACTACTCCCGTGCAAGCACACTTAACTTTGGAGTTCTTAGCGGATGAGCTCCCGTAAAAGGAGATGCACCTCTGTTGGTATGAGTAGTACTATTAATCCGTTTATATTAAATCTCAAGTGTTACAATCACCCCCACTTAGGATCGCAACGTCCTCGTTGCGCCCTTAAACCAATCTCAATCAAACCCCAGAATCTTTTCCCCTGCTAAGTGTCCGCCCGATATCCAACGGATCAACACACTGTCGCAGGGTTGCTCTGATAGACTTCTGGAGTTCTTCATTCTTTGGTATGCATACACGATCCTTAAACAATAATAGACCGTCATCGCGTACTCGGAAGTTCTCAACGGGCCCCGCAAGGATCCTTTCACGGATCTTCTGACATTCCTCATCCATGGCCTGACTTCGACTAATCTCGCCCAATAGGGTGGGCCTAACCTCAAATCGAGCAATGAGAGCCCCACACGTGGACACCTCCACGCGTGCCCTCAATGCCTGTAGACACGTGAGTAGCGTCCCTGTCGTATTCTTCCTGCTCAGTGCGTCGGCCACGACATTGGCCTTTCCGGGATGATAGTCGATGATCAAGTCATAGTCCTTGATCAACTCCATCCATCTTCTCTGCCTCATATTCAACTCTTTCTGAGTGAATACGTACTTCAAGCTCTTATGGTCTGTAAAAATGTGACATGTCTCCCCGTAGAGATAATGCCTCCAGATTTTCAGTGCAAACACTACCGCCCTAATTCTAGATCATGGGTAGGGTAGTTCACCTCGTGCTTTCTCAATTGCCTTGAAGCATAGGCAATCACTTTACCGTTTTGCATCAGTACACATCCAAGTCCTTGGATGCTAGCATCGCTGTAAATGTCATACCCTATCCCCTGTATAGGTAGGGCAAGGACTGGTGCTTCGGTAAGTCGTTTCTTCAATTCAAGGAACCCCTTCTCACACTTGTCGTCCCATATGAACTTGGCCCCTTTCTTTGTGAGCTTCGTTAATGGGGACGCCAATACGGAGAATTTTTCCACAAATTTACGATAGTATCCCGCTAAGCCAAGGAAACTACGTATCTCTTTCACATTCTTGGGTCTCTCCCAATCCATGATAGCTTTTATCTTGGCGTTATCCACAGCAACGCCCGAACCAGATATGACATGACCGAGGAAACCAATCTCCTTGAGCCAAAATTCGCATTTAGAGAACTTGGCAAAGAGTTGCTTTTCCCTTAGCCGATCAAGTATAAGTCCCAAATGATGTTCGTGCTCCTCCTCGCTCTTGGAGTATATCAAGATATCATCAATGAATACTATCACAAATTGATCTAAGTATTCACTAAACACACGGTTCATCAAGTCCATGAATGCTGCCGGTGCGTTGGTTAAACCAAATGACATCACAAGGAACTCGTAATGACCATACCTAGTGCGGAATGCACTCTTAGGTATGTCGCTCTCCTTGATCTTCAACTGATGATACCCCGACCTCAAATCAATCTTTGAGAACACTATTGCCCCCCGAAGTTGATCAAACAAGTCATCAATCCTCGGTAAGGGATACCTGTTCTTGATTGTGACCTTGTTCAACTGTCGGTAGTCAATACACATTCTTAGTGTACCATCCTTCTTCTTCACGAAGAGTACGGGTGCCCCCCACGGTGAATGACTGGGTCTAATGAACCCGTTGTCCAGTAATTCTTGTAGTTGGACCTTCAACTCTTGGAGTTCGGCCGGTGCCATTCGATAAGGGGGAATCGAAATGGGTTTGGTTCCCGGCTCCACTTCGATTACAAACTCTATCTCTCTATCGGGTGGGAGCCCCGGTAGGTCTTTGGGAAAGACATCCGGGTATTTGCACACGACCCGTACATCTTTGATGTCGACTTCCTTCTTGGTATCGTCCACCACGTAGGCAAGGTATGCGTGGCATCCCTTCCTCATCATCTTCCGTGCTCTCATCACGGATATTATACAAGCATTAGATTTCCCCCGATCTCCCTCGAAACATAGTGTGTTTCCTTGATCATCCTCGAGCTCTAACACCTTGGTGTAGCAATCTACTCGAGCATGGTGTTTCTCGAGCCAATCCATTCCTAGGATTGCATCGAACTCCAACATGCTTAGAGGTACGAAATCACAAGTCAAAGGTTGACCCGTCACTTCTACCTCGCACGACGGATAGTAATGATTTCTCTCCACGTCGTCTCCTAACGGTGTGGAAACTAGCAATGTTTGCGTCATAGGTGTCAATGGCACGTCAAGGCCCTCGGCGAACGCCTCACTCACAAATGAGCGTTGTGCCCCAGTATCAATGAGGATCCTCGCACACCTACCATTGATCTTTAATGTTCCTACATTTATACATCATGTAAGATACATTTTCTAATGTTTTACACATTTTTAGGAGGTTATTAGGCTCATACTAATGTTTGGAATCAAACGGGGGTCCAAACGTAGAAGAACGGGGCGAAAAAATCAAGTTTCGGGTGTTGGGGGGTCCACGCACGGCGTGCCTGGGTGGCACGCACGGTCGTGCGTGCTTGAAAATCAGAGATCCGCCACTGCCGGCTACGCACGATCGTGCGTAGCTGGTCACGCACGATCGTGCGTCCCAGGCACGGCGTGCCTGACCTGCACGCACGGCGTGCGTCTGCGCGGAAAACGGCCAGAGGCTACTGCCTCGCACGCACGGTCGTGCGTCTGTAGGTACGCGCGATCGCGCGTAGTTGTTTTTAGCCCGTTTCGCCCCGAATTCGCGGGGTTTGACCCCGGGGTGGCCCGCACCCAAACCCAATGACTCATATGACCCAAATAAGCCTAGAAATATAGGAAAATAAGCGTATTACCTGCAACGGAGTCCGGGTTTGCTCGCGCATCCGCCTCGGTCATTGCGTACACTCGTGCTTGGGTCCCGCCTTGATTTACGGACGCGGCATGACTTGTGGATGCGTTGCCTCTTCCCGTACCGCCGTTTGACGGTCCCGCACGGTTTCTTCCCGTCATGGTTCCTCCTCCGGATCCCGAAGCTCCTCCACCCCCTAATTGTGGGCAATTGGCCTTCATGTGGCCCGTGTTCCCGCATTGATAACACCTTGGGGGTGCATTGCACTTCCCAAAGTGATTTTTCGAACAATTAGCACACCTAGGGGGTCCCGTCTTTTGGGAGGAGGATGCATGCCACCGAGCATCCCTGTTCTTCTTTGCCGGTGGTGCCGGTGTCTTGAACGAACCGCCACCTCCACCGTGCTTATCCTTTCGTGCTTGCTCGGGCGGCCCCGAACTTTGCCATTTCCTCTTTTTCGCCTCCTCGGCGTCTCTCTCTTTTCTCTCATTCCATTGGGCCTCCCCGAGAAGGCCCTGCTCCACCACCTCACTGAAGGTCATGTGGCGCGAGTACGTAGCTCGGTCACGGATGTCCAAGAGTAGGGCATCCCAAAAGTGCTCCGTCATGCGGTTCTCATCAACCGCGTACTCCGGCAAGAACCTAGCCAAGGTTCTAAACTCTTGTTCCAGTTGCTTAACTGTGCCGCCCTCTTTCTGTTTGAGGTTAGTGTACTCTCTCCGTTTCACATTCACCTCGTACTCGGAGTAGTATTGAGCATAGAACTCTAGCTCAAAGTCCGCCCATGTTATTTCCCCATGGTACTTCCCTTCCACGCTCTCCCACCACGTAGAAGCTATCCCTTCAAGTAGCCGTGAAGCGACAGTCAACTTCACGTCCGGTGTGATTTGC